GGAGAGAAGACAGGAATGTACTACCGCACCAAGAAGACCTTAATCGTTGATGTGGTCCGTGAAGAACAATGCCATTAAAGGAAGTAAAATTCAGCAGATGATTGAGGTCCAAGTACATTTTGTACATTTGAGGGTATCAAACAGTGTCAGCCTCTCTACTGTGATCGTGTCCTCAAGCGCAACAGACGGCTTTCCAGAGTGAGTCAAAGGGCAAAGATTCCTGTATGTACAGGTTGGCATATACCCAGACGCATCCGATGTTGATCACTCTAAGTAGTGATTTAACTGTAGTGGCCTAAATCACTAACAAAACTATCTAATTCTACAGAGCGGTTTTCAACGGGATGCAATGGAAAGACCCCATGAATACATCTACGTGGGTTTAATCTCACCAGAAGGAGAAGGAGAGGCCGTAATGTGATTGGCCATCGGGCCATTGTTGGTGTTCCTGGGCAGCGTGGTGGCAACGTCACATTATGTGCTGCCCTCAGCAATCACGGGGCTGTGAGTTTTCAAAGAGCCCTCCAGGTTAGAGAGGTTCAATATGAGCCAAGGTTTTATCACCGTACTCCCCTTTCCTAAACCCCATTGAGGAATTCTTCTCCGCATGGCGGTGGAAGGTATATGAACGCCAACCTTAAACCAGGGTAACTCTCCTGCAAGCCATGGGAATGGCCTACATGGTGTGGAGGCACGCCAGGGGTTTTCCTGTGGCCTGACCCAGTACGGAGACGTGATGCTGTGGCTGAGTAATGCACTCATTTGTATATTTTTGTACCAGGCTCCTTAGGTCATTTCTTGGAAGAACTGGACATTCTCCTGTCTAATTTCCCCGAAAATGGACCTCCGCTCATCCTCCTGGGTGACTTCAACATCCAGACAGAGAAGTCATCTGATCTCTTACACCTACTTTCTTCCTTCGCTCTGTCACTCAGTCCCTCTCCTCCTACTCACATAGCCAGCAATCACCTTGACTACATCTTCACTAGAAACTGCTCTACCACTAACCACACATGAACTCCACGTCATGTGTCTGATCACTTCTTCATCTCTTACTCCCTTCCACTCTCTATAACTAACAAACCTCCCTCATTGACTAACTCTGTACCGGCTCGTCGCAATATTCGCTCCCTCTCTCCCTCCTCGCTGGCATCCTCTGTTCTATCAGCTCTCCCTTCAACTGACTCCTTCTCACTCTTGCATCCGAACGCTGCTGCAGAGACTCTCCTCTCAACTCTTTCCTCCTCTCTAGACTCTCTCTGCCCTCTTACGACACGACGGACTGGCAAATCCCCTCCGGCTCCGTGGCTGTCTCAACCGGTCCGTGCCATGAGAGCCACCATGCGAGCGTCGGAAAGGAGATGGCGTAAATATAAACAACCTGAGGACCTGCTCGAATTTCAATCTCTCCTCTCCTTGTTTTCTGCTTCTATCTCTGCTGCCAAAAGCTCTTTCTACCAATCCAAAATCGAATCCTCATTCTCTAAACCCCAAAAAACTCTTCTCGATCTTCTCCAATCTCCTCGAACCCCCTACCCCTCCTCCCCCCTCCACCCTTCTTCCGGGAGACTTTGTCAACTACTTCACCAAGAAAATTGCTGACATACGCTCCTCCTTCTCAAACCCACCTCCTACTTCTCGCGTCCCACCGACCTCACCTCTTTCGCCCTCACTTCCCTCTTTCACCGCCCTCTCTCCTAACAATTCTTACCCTAGTAACCTCTGCCCGTCCGACCACCTGCCCTCTTGACCCCATTCCATCACATCTTCTACAATCTATCGCACCTGACCTTCTTCCGTTCCTCACCTGTCTCATCAACAACGCTCTGTTATCTGGCTGTTTTCCCAATTCTCTGAAGGAGGCAAGAGTCAACCCCCTCCTGAAGAAACCCACCCTCAACCCTTCTGAAGAAAACAACTACAGACCGGTCTCTCTTCTTCCCTTTTTGTCAAAACCCTTGAACGTGCTATCTTTAATCAACTCTCCTCTTATCTCCACTGTAACAACCTCCTTGACCCCCACCAGTCAGGCTTCAAGGCCGTTCCACAGAGACTGCTCTCCTTGCTGTCTCAGAGCAACTCCACACTGCTAGAGCCGCCTCTCTCTCCTCTGTCCTCGTCCTTCTGGACCTCTCTGCTGCATTTGACACAGTCAACCACCAGATCCTTATTTCCTCCCTTCAGGAACTTGGTGTCACAGGCTCTGCTCTCTCCCTTCTCTCGTCCTACCTCGACGGCCGCACCTACCGGGTAACCTGGCGAGGATCTCTGTCGGAACCTTGTCCTCTTACTACTGGAGTTCCTCAGGGTTCCGTCCTGGGTCCCCTCCTGTTCTCGCTTTACACCAACTCTCTTGGCGCTGTCATTCGCTCGCATGGCTTCTCTTACCACAGCTATGCTGATGACACCCAACTAATTCTCTCCTTCCCTCACTCGGACACCCAGGTGGCGGCTCGGATCTCTGCCTGTCTAACTGTCACACTTGACAGCCAGCTCTCCCTGACTCCCAACATCACCGCGACAATGCGATCCAGTAGATACACGCTCTACAACATCAGGAGAATACGTCCCCTTCTCACTCAGAAGGCAGCGCAGGTACTGATTCAGGCTCTTGTCATCTCCCGCCTGGACTACTGCAACTCCCTCCTGGCAGGTCTCCCTGCCACCGCCATTTGACCTCTGCAGCTCATTCAGAATGCAGCAGCTCGACTGGTCTTCAACCTTCCGAAATTATCCCACACTCCTCCACTCCTCCGCCCTCTTCACTGGCTACCGGTGGCTGCCCGCATCCAGTTCAAAACATTGGTGCTCACGTACCATGCTGTGAATGGATCGGGTCCAGCTTACATGCAGGACCTGGTCCAACCCGGCATCCCAACCCGCACTCTCCGCTCTGCATCTGCAAAACTACTCGTCCCTCCCTCACTGAGAGCAAAACACTCGACTAGATCTCAACTCTTCGCTGTCCTTGCGCCGAAATGGTGGAACGAGCTCTCTAAAGACACCAGGACCGCAGAGAGCCTTCACATCTTCCGCCGCAAACTAAAGACACACCTCTTCAGACTCTACCTTGACTAAAGACTAACAAATTGTAGCACTTAAATTGTACTTGTAACGTCACTCATCTATAGCAAATTGTAAATTGGCTTATTTGAGGAAATTGCACTTTCTTGTTCTCCTGAGTTTGTACCCTATGGTTGAATGCACTTATTGTACGTCGCTTTGGATAAAAGCGTCCGCTAAATGACATGTAATGTAATGTGTTGGCCCTCTTGTTTACAGAGCACAACTTGTTGAATTCAGCCCTTCACCCTTGCAATCTGTATTTAGCCCCCATTGCTTTAAAAACATATTTCAATGTGAAAGGCAATAATATGTATGGATACAGCAACAATCTTAACGCATTAGCAACATCAAACACAAAAAACATATTCTGGGGTGTTAACTTTTGGTCCAGGTCATCATGCTGCACGCTAGCATGCTCCAAGCCAGCATGCTAACTAGCAAACTACCTGCGCTAACGCTAGCTTAACAAAAAGGGCCGTCTTTCCCGTATCGAGTCGGCAGCACAAGTAAAACACCCGGTTATAGTTCCAGGTGTGCTTCATTCAAACACTCCCGTACTTACAGAGTAGTGGAGCCGGTAGTCGTGGCTCTATCAGCCCGTTCATGTCGCTCTGCTGCCGTAACTTCGCCTCGTGCTGCGTCCGCTCGGAGCTCTGCAGGCGTCTAAGAACTTGCGCATGCGCGTTACAGATGTGAGCGGAGTCACGTGTTTACAAGTAATGTTTGAACCTGCCCGCATTATTATGTCTTAAACGCATCTTATTAACAGCACGCAGTCCGTAGTTTCATATTTATAACGTCTTCGCGTAGAGTAAATTTCGCCAACCAGTTCATTAATTATTATGAAAATCTTAACGTTAATATTGTCTCTCTTTCAACCTTACGTTACAACATGACACATTTATCAACAAATTGACGTTTTCTGGCACGTTGGTGGTTCATCCCATTTTTAGCCGGTTGAAAAGACGTTGAAATGAGGTCTTAGACGTTCAGACCTCATTTCAACCCGATTTCAACCATATTTCAACGTTGAAATTACGTCATGTGCTCACTGGGGGTGAACATGTTAAGCTTGACAAGATCCAGCTCCACACATAATATGATGAAAGTTACAAAATATGAGTTTATATACCAACTCTGCCAACAGCTACTGTTTCCAGCCTACACTGATGGCCGTGATTTTTCTTAAAAGGGCAATAACCCCACAGTGACAGGTGGACATGCAAAAATATTATTATGAAAATAGAATATTCCTGGACATTTTATCAAATAACTTGACATTACAGGCACGTTCCTGTTGGGGGATTTTGTGTCATTTGACCACTTATTACAGCAGCAGCGTGTGGGACATCCAATGAAACACACTGGTATACAATGAACTCAAGATACTCATCATTGTACTGATGTGTGTAAAAGTTTCATTATTCTGCTCTGTCTTCACAATGACTCATTCTGATGGAGACACCAAAGGCCCTTTATAGTCATATGGACTCACAGCTGGATGAAGCTCCCAGATGTTCTGATCTGTACACTACATGCACACTCACTTAGATTAAATGGAGTAACGGTGTGTGAGGTTTTTAGCATCGTGAGTTGCAGATTAAAAACTAGCAAAACCAGAATACGGTGCTCAGCCTCCACTTTGCAAACGTGGTGGAGAGAAAATAATTATATATATATAATATATATAATTATATATAATAATTATAAAAACACTGACTCACTGTCAGGTGCAGCACTTTATCTGCTGTTGTGATTGTTTCCCATCGTTGATGATCTGAAGGTGCTTTTGTCTTGAACAGGTTCAGTGGTTAAAAGAGACTGCACCCCTCAGTCAGGCACGCGGTGCGTCCCCTGTGTGGACGGGACGTATATGGACCAACCCAATGGGCTGAATAAGTGCTTCCCCTGCAGCTCCTGTGACCAAGGTACGTCCACAATCAGCTGAGTCACCTTTCACTCTCAGGACACCCTCCTGTTATTATACTGGACAAAATTAAACCGAATAAAAGACACAAAGCAACTATTTGCAACCCTGGTAATGGATGCAACTTGATTCCCAATGAATCTGATGATGTGCTGTGAGGTTGATGCCACGTTGGCTGTAAAGAGGACCGTAGTCATTGTGTCGTAGCAGGTAAGTGTTTTATATGGAGCCTTGAATGCAGCACATTGTATATCTGTACAGTTTATTATCAGTGATACAGCTTATTGACATTATGAACTAACAATACAGTAAATGTATCAATGTCCACAAACGTTGTCTTTAAGTGGAAAAATGAGTGATGTAATTACAAAGTGACTTGCTTTATCTTTTCTTAGTACATTTACTTACCTGTCTGTCACGTTTCACAATGTCAATTCCCTGCGTCTACATTCAGTTTTTATTTTGTGACAGACTTCATATAATACAGCTCTTTCTCTTTAAGCTGTAAGGTAGTTTTCCATCGACCTCTCTGCTCTTCTGTCCGTCTCATATCATTCAGTTCATTTGTTGCAATCCGCTGTCCAGCATCTTTGTTTAACTATAATATAATGAGTCTGTGTTGGTTTTCAGGCCGTGGTCTCTTTGCCAAACAGAACTGCACATCAACAAGTGACACCGTCTGTGACGTCATCGCTGGTCACTTCTGCACGGACCTGATAGAAGATAAAGAATGTCGTTCGGCACGCAAACATTCAGACTGTGAACCTGGTCACAGGGTCAAAGAGCGTGGTGAGAAAAACTCCAGTCACACAGTGACTACGTCCACGGCTCGTGGTGGTGTAGCTGGTTATTGATCTCTTTGGCCACAGCTCAGGCACGTCTGTGCCTCATGTCCATGTCCAGCACACCTTCTAGGTCTCCTCCAGTCTGGTCTCTGAGGCCTGAACTCTTTCACTAGATTCAGCATGCAGACACCACGACGTATACGAGGATAAGCAACGGTTCTTCTAAGTACAGCTGCAGTAAACATGATCTCTATACTCCAACTGGCCTCCTCAGGTCACTTACAGCAGGATTTATTGAGCCTCTCGGTTAGCGTGAACGTCATCAGGTCTCTGGTACGAGTGTGCATGAGCACTCCCTTGATGAACACATGGATCTGATTCATGATGCTGGTTGTTGGGTTCCTGTGTCGTTCATCTCAGCTTTGTCTGTTTCTCCAAGGGACCAGAAGAACTGACACAACGTGTGAACCTTGTCCCGCAGGCAGTTTTTCACTGGAGGGTGTGAATTGTTCACTTTGGACCACGTAAGACCTTGTTTGTTAAAGGATGTCTGTAAAAAGTGTGTTGTAATAAACGTATAAGCAGAGTGATCCCACTATGCTTATACGTTTATTACGTTGACCAGTAGTCAAGTTTCCCCTGAGATGGACCAACCCCCCATCGGGAGATTCAAGACGTCACCAACCCCCCAGGCCCGTTTCATTTGGTCACTTTCAATACATCTACAAGCGTTCCTGGTAATGGTCCGTTTTTAACACCAAAAGCACTAAAGCTCTTCTTCATTTCTCTTTTTTGACAGTTGCTCAGAAAACCAAGTGGAGGTCAAAGGAGGAAACCTGACCAGTGACACTGTTTGTGAAGCTGCTTCAGGACACCTTTACTGGTTAATACCTGTAGCTGTAGTTGTACTTGTAATGGTACTAACAGTAACACTGGTTGTCCTCTGGATCAAAAGTTAGTACTTGTCTTTGCAACCCTCATTTGATTGGCTGACATGACTTTGTTCCATCGTTGCCTTCACAGCCTTATTGTTTAAGCTGATACCTTTCTTGCTTTTGTATTTCAGGGAGAAATCAAGAGAACCAACAGGTACGTTTGCTCCATATGCAAATGTTTGTCTCAAATAGGCTGCACCACATTAAATCTGCTCCATCACAGAGAACCTCCCCCCTGTAATCTGGGAAACAGGGAACCGTATTTTGCATTAGTGCGCTAATTGAACTCGTACGTTAACCCTCAACCTGAGGAACCCGTTTTGGAAGAAGATCTTTGCTCAAATGTCAGTGTCCGACTTTTACAAGCTTCATGAGGTTGAAGCCTGCTGGATGTTGTTGGGACGCCTCAAAGTTAATTCATTAAATACAAATGTCAGTGAAGACGGACTAAGTAGTAGCAAGTAGCTCAGACTGCTGCGCCCCGTCGGTGAGCAGAGAACAAGATATCTATCTGCACGCTGCATGACGGAGTGTGCAGCTGTTCAACCCGTATGCCGCCCAGCCCGAGTGCACACCACGACATCTGACCCACTCCTGTCTCACTAATACAAGTAATAACAGCACACACATTCACTACACACAGGTATGTTCAACCACCCGTGATCCCATAACTTCAGCATCTCTCTGGTGTCTGGAGGAGTTCAGTTCAGTGGCTGCAGGACGAGCTGTTCTTCCATGTGGTTTGAAATGAGTGCTGTGGGACAACGGTCCAACGTGTTGACATCTCAGCAGGGGCCTGGGAGCAGCGTACCACTTAGGGAAGAGACGTCGTCGTGTCTGCAGGAGGAGTCCAGTCGGGAAGGACCTGAAGGAATGTTGAGGTGGAGCGGGGACCCTTGAGTTGTAGACAGAAGGGCGGACAGAACTCCAGATATGGCCGCCCTGGACTGTCTGGAGCTTTACAATCCATCACCACGCAGTCCACCAGCGAGCTACAGCAGCGCGGGGACAAGGACCACCGTCTCATCATCACAACTAGGGATAGCCAGAGGGGAAGTACAGGCTCAGCGTACTAACACTTATGCCCCTGGAAGAACCCACCATCACTCACAATGTAGAGCCCACTCACGGACTGCAGAGGTGCACCAGCCTCATTGCACCACTTTCTCTATGGAACACTCCAAATACCCAGCTACCTTGGACGCGCCTGACGTCATGTGCTCAGAGGCGTGGACGCTGCCGCCCGCACCAACTCTAACCCAATCACCACAGAAGAACTCTGTTAGACCAACAGCATAGTTAGTGCACCTTGATTGTCTATACATGTACGTGTGTCCCCTTGTTGGGGATTCGTGGGTGGAGCCGGTAGACGGTAAACTACGTCGTAGTCAAAGGACTCGCTGTGGTCTGAGAATCCTCGGCTGAGGTGGTGACTTTTTTTTATTAAATTCTTTTGACTAACTTTTCGATCCGAGATGTCTTCTGTCCGTCTGGAGTTTCTTCATTTTGAAAGACAACAAACCATCAGAGGGCGACTGGCGACGCTACACGGCGAGCAGCACGTCTCTCTCCGGCTAGCGGCTCTGCTGCTGGCGGCGGGTCCAAGTTGTAAAGCGGCTTCCTTGCATTTTCTTACGCGAATGACCGGAGATCGTTTGATTCTTTCCGTTTTGTCTTTATTTTACGCAGCAAAGCGTCAACGTGACAGATAAACGATGTGCTCTCGTGCCTCGTGCAGCTCTTCTGTGTTGCACCTGCTGCAATCATGACGTCATACATGGAGACACACAAGGAGCGTCAGTCCAACATGAATGTTTCCATATCTCACATATCTTTAGTTCCTATGACCATAGATTAAATGATTAATACTTCCCAAATTCCAATGAAGTAATACAAACACTTCTGGCTCTTAGAGACTGTACATATACTGTAAACTGTTAACAGTTCATATATTGTCCATAATTTGAAGTAAAAAAGGTATTGTTTTAGGTACTGTTTGTTTTAGAAGTGTGTTTTTAGCACTGGAGGGTATTCCAGAAAGGATTAACAAACTCTGAGTCTGTCCTTGAACTAGTTGACTCACTCTGAGACGGGATGATCTGCATTAGTTCAATCGACTGAGTATGTTCACCTTGAGTTGAGCGCGTGCATGACGATTATAAAAAGACATCATCAATGGAGCCCCGATACCACGAGTCACCATGAGTCACCACGACAACAGTAAATAAAAGAGCTATTTCCCTGCGATGGAGTTGGAGGTCCTTCTGCAGGAGAGCGTGAGCACGTATTTCACAGCTGCAGCAGCGGAGGAGAGAGAGACTGCGTGGGGAAGAATCGCTGCCCGAGTCAACGCGTAAGTTTGAATGAACTGTTCCATTGACATGACATTTAACCGTAAGATCGTGGCAGCCTGTAGTTATGAATATAAGTAGGAAATGAAATCTTTTCATTTAGGTGCAATCCAACAGGGACAAAAGGACCTGGAAGCATCCATCCATCCATCCATCTTCAACCGCTTATCCGGGGTCGGGTCGCGGGGGCAACAGCTCCAGCAGGGGACCCCAAACTTCCCTTTCCCGGGCCACAGCTACCAGCTCTGACTGGGGGATCCCAAGGCGTTCCCAGGCCAGTGCAGAGATATAATCTCTCCACCTAGTCCTGGGTCTTCCCCGGGGCCTCTTCCCAGCTGGCCGTGCCTGAAACACCTCCCTAGGGAGGAGCCCAGGGGGCATCCTCACTAGATGCCCAAACCACCTCAACTGGCTCCTTTCGACGCAAAGGAGCAGCGGCTCTACTCCGAGCTCCTCGCGAATGGCTGAGCTTCTCACCCTATCCCTAAGGGAGACGCCAGCCACTCTCCTGAGGAAACCCATTTCGGCCGCTTGTACCCGTGACCTAGTTCTTTCGGTCATGACCCATCCTTCATGACCATAGGTGAGGGTAGGAACGAAGATTGACCGGTAGATCGAGAGCTTTGCCTTCCGGCTCAGCTCTCTTTTCGTCACAACGGTGCGGTAAAGCGAGTGCAATACCGCCCCCGCTGCTCCGATTCTCCGGCCAAACTCACACTCCATCTTCCCCTCACTCGTGAACAAGACCCCGAGGTACTTGAACACCTTCACACAATCCATCGGTTTCCTGCTGAGAACCATGGCCTCAGATTTAGAGGTGCTAATCCTCATCCCGACCGCTTCACACTCGACTGCGAAACGCTCCAGTGAGAGTTGGAGGTCACAGACGGAAGATGCCATCAGGACCACATCATCTGCAAAAAGCAGCGATGAGATCCGCAGCCCCCCGAACTGTAGACCCTCCTCCCCCCGACTACGCCTCGATATCCTGTCCATGAAGACCACAAACAAGATTGGTGACAAGGCGCAGCCCTGGCGAAGGCCAACCCCCACCGGAAACGCCTTCGACTTACTGCCGAGCACCCGAACACAGCTCTCGCTTTGGGCGTACAAGGATTGGATGGCCCCAAGCAAGGACCCCCTCACCCCGTACTCCCGCAGCACCTCCCACAGTATCTCTCGGGGGACCTGGTCATACGCCTTCTCCAAGTCCACAAAACACATGTAAACTGGTTTAGCATACTCCCAAGCCCCCTCTATGATCCTGGAAAGAGTGAAGAGCTGGTCCGTTGTTCCACGACCAGGACGAAAACCACATTGTTCCTCTTCAATCCTTGGTTTGACTATCGGCCGAACCCTCCTTTCCAGCACCTTAGAGTAGACTTTACCCGGGAGGCTGAGTAGTGTGATACCCCTGTAATTGGCACACACTCTCTGGTCCCCCTTTTTGAAGAGGGGTACCACCACCCCGATCTGCCACTCTTTTGGCACTGTCCCAGACTTCCACGCAATGTTGAAGAGGCGTGTCATCCAAGACAACCCCCCAACACCCATTGCTTTTAGCATCTCTGGACGGATCTCATCAATCCCCGGGGCTTTGCCACTGCGGAGTTGTTTGACTACCTCAGTGACTTCCACCAGGCTAATTGACGATGATCCCTCCTCCGCCTCCACCAAAGAGGGCGTAGTAGTTGGGTTCAGGAGTTCCTCAAAGTGTTCCTTCCACCGCCCGATAACCTCCTCAGTCGCGGTCAACAGGGTCCCATCCTTACTGTACACAGCTTGGATGGTTCCCCGTTTCCCCCTCCTGAGGTGCCGGATGGTCTTCCAAAAACACTTTGGTGCCGACCGAAAGTCCTTCTCCATAGTTACCCCGAACTCCTCCCATACTCGCTGCTTTGCCTCCATCACGGCAGAGGCTGCTGCCCTTCGAGCCTGTCGGTACACTGCAACTGCCTCTGGAGTCCCACCGGATATCATAACCCGGAAGGCCTCCTTCTTCAGTCGGACGGCTTCCCTGACCACCGGTGTCCACCACGGAGTTCGAGGGTTACTGCCCCTTGATGCACCTAAGACCTTGAGGCCACAACTCACCGCCGCGGCTTCAGCAATGGAGGTTTTGAACATAGACCACTCTGGTTCAATGTCCCCTACCTCCACAGGAGTGTGAGAGAAGCTCCGCCGGAGGTGTGAGTTGAAAATCTTTTGGACCGGGGCCTCCTCCAGACGTTCCCAGTTCACCCTCACTACACGCTTGGGTTTACCGGGTCTGTCCCGAGTCTTCCCCCATCCTCTGACCCAGCTCACAACCAGATGGTGATCAGTTGACAGCTCTGCCCCTCTCTTTACCCGAGTGTCCAGAACATGCGGCCTCAGATCAGACGATACGATTACAAAATCGATCATTGATCTTTGGCCTAGGGTGCTCTGGTACCACGTACACTTATGAACATCCTTATGTTCGAACATGGTGTTTGTTATGGACAATCCGTGACTAGCACAGAAGTCCAGTAACAAACACTCGCTCGGGTTCAGATCAGGGAGGCCATTCCTCCCAATCACGCCTCTCCAGTTATCTCCATCGTCGCCCACGTGCGCATTGAAGTCTCCCAGTAGG